TTTCTGTTTTGCTCCAACTACAAGTGGAGACCTCCAGAGGGTGAAAGCCAAGACCTCCACAGTCATGTCCTTCCCTCCTTTGCAGTAACAAAGATGTCTGTGGATTAATGTTTGTACAGCTATTGTCACTGACATGTACACTGCTCAGATTCATTCTTGCACAGGACTCTTCTCCCATGTGCACAGGAAGAACAACTCATGTTTTCTTAATCTCCCTGGGGAAATGCTGCAGCCTGTGCACTTATGGATTGTTTACAAGTTCTGCACAGCTTTATTTTCCCCAGGAAATCAAAAACTGGGAGCTTACTTTGTTAGAAGAGCTTGCTCTTTCTCATTTAGTATGAGAACTCCTTAGAAAACCAGTCGAAGAAGAGCCTAACTAAATATTCAGGCTTAACTCCATTTGTTTCCCAGCTAGAAAATATGAAGATAATTTAAATATTGCTATTCTCAAATCACAATGTTTGTTCTTGGAGAGCCATGCTACATTCTCATCAGGCTATATTTCTGGTGTTCTCCTATCTGTTATTTTAAGAAAGGGTCCATATTTGAAATGAGAAGTACATCCATGCTTATTATTTTAGTCCTTCCATGCAGAGCGCTCCCCTGCTGCTTCTTTCTCAGTCATTCATTTTTGCCCTTTGTGTAGGATGAGACCTCTTTACCCATGGCATGTGAAGGCAGAACAGCATCAACCTTCTGTCTCCCCACTCTGGACTGAGAATTACAGGTAAAGTAAGAAAAATGCTATTCTCTCTTGATAGACTGAAGTCAAAATAAGTGAACTTATTTTATTAAATGGATGTCAAAATAGCATAATTTCTGTACAAGAACAATGATGTGCTTGAAGTAATTTTCCGGAAAAAGTGATCAGTGGCATGAGATTAAAGGAAGCAATAATTTTGTTCCTGAGTCACATCTACTGTGTGTGGCAGAGTAGATGTTACAGACATGGAAACTAAAGCAGACTTACATGAGGAATAATATTGACCTTCATTAATTACTCTGAAGCAACTGTCAAGAAGCAATATTTAAAGAACATGTGCTCACCAGGCAGCTAGTGTTAATACTGCTTAAAGATCCCGTTGGAGATAACTGACTTTTGTTTCTTGTTGGAAAATACTTCTCAGTGCTGGAATGGTCAAACAAAAAGTTTCATAGGGTTGCTAGCGCCAGTCATGGTCTTGTCTGAGTGGAAAAGACTAACTGACAGTGGAATTTTTAAGCTGTTAGTTCAGTTTCTGTCCTGTTTGATGTCACAAGGAGGAATTAGGAGACACCATGAATTCAAGAGTACCCAGGTTGAGTTCCAGAAGTGAATCCTGTATTGCTCTATCTGCCACTGCAGCCAATGCTGACTCATATTAATCAATTCCTCAGGGAAGGCTAAATGTCTGAGGCAGAAACCCAGATACCTGGTTACTGAGAGCAAGGAATAAGCCTGCTCTCATCCAATCTCATAAGCAGGATTTTCTGACGGGAAGGAGTATGGTGAGATTGGACCTTGAGGCACTTGTAGCCTCTGAGTGACCCACTGAACAGCAAAAGCTGCCTGCTACCATTCCTAAGCTGAAGGGAAATGGTTATTCAATTCCCTACAGTTGGAAAAGAAGGGTGTTGTGGCTATTTTAAACTACTGATATCCAACCGTATAACTTTCTGATTCAAAAGGCAGGGCTATTACTCCCTAGCCCCTACTCCCCTCTATAATTGACCGGAGAGTCTTCTGTACGTAGGAGTATGCCCTGTCACAGAGTGTGCTACATCTGATCTATGGAAAAAGTAATTTCACCCTCTAGGATGTCAATCCTATGTTCTAAACCAGTGCTGAAAGAATAAGCGCTTAGATGACTGCTATATTTTGACAAGCTGTCAACCCTTCAAACCTGCCAATTCACCTGTAATTTCCACAAGAACTCTTCTAGCAATCCAGCAGAATTGGAACCTGTCACCAGTATTAATAACAATCAGAAATACCACAAACTGACAGATAGTGGAAAAGTTCAGTTAAACAAGAGTAGAGAGCTCCTTAACAATGCAATATTACCAAACAGTTCTTCTGGCCTGGCCTCAAGGACCACCACAACAGTGTCAGCATGGCTCCTGCTGCCAAACCCTGCAGGCTCTTTCAGCTCCTGCAGTCCTGCTGGACAAGTCCATGCACCAGTGCTGCCCTCCCAGCCTAAAGGCCTAGCACTAATCTGCCAACATCTTAGATACAACTCAGCAAGAGCTCTTCTGTTTCATGCCTCACCTCTAATGTCTTGGGTTAGGCAAGCAGTGAGGTGTCCTTATTCAACATGGAAGTCAGACAACCACAGAGGATGAAATGGGTTTAAGTAGGTCAAGTGCCAGAATGAGGTCTGAGCTGGGAAGTCCAAGACAAATGTTTTTCTGAAAGCTCCACAGCTGCTGCACAACAGTTGGCCCTAAACAGCATGCTTCAGTTCTGGCTTCTGGCACAGAAAGTGCTGCTCATGGACTTTGAACGGCTACCCACAAAATGGAGTGCCAGGACACAGAGTTTCAGGCATGAATGGACAAGAAAGGCCATATGAGGTCTGTTCTAGACTAGCTGGGCTCTTTCCTTTACTCCAGTGAGTGCAAAGAAAGTTTCAGTCAACTATGTTTAAGTTACGTGATTTACATGAGCTGAAATTAAACTTCATAACAGAATGCCAAAGACTTTTACTGAAGTGACATGCTTATAAAGGGGTAAAAAAAAAAAAAAAAAAAAAAAATTTCCTTAATGTTATCACTCAGAAGCCCTATTACACTAAGAATCATGTGTTCCTCATTGTATTTTTGCCCAGGAACTTCTTGCTTACAATAAAAAGTTATATAGGAAAATATACCATTTTGTAGTTGAAATACATAATCCTACAAAATACTTTCTTATTCAAGAATATCATTTAGATATATATGATCTTGTGTAGAAGATGACAGGCTGGCATTAGATCTTCCACTGTTAACTGTAAAACCATTTCTGGAGTGATTCACACAACCAGAGATGCAGGAAAAGGAGCTCTCAGAGTACCTGTTGCTACCTGCCATTATCTAATCTTTAAAAAAGGGATTCTACCCTTGGCAATAGAACATTCAAACTGTTGCCTTGGCTGGCAACTGTATCATAAATACTAAGATATGAATATGTTCAATCATGTAGACTAATCAGTCCAGTAATAGTCCAGCCAACTTCTGGGTTTTACTCCTAAGCCATTTACCATCAACTTCCCAGATATTTATCACATATCATAAGAAGTTTGTACTATCTTTGCTTCTGCATTGGCTTGGTTGCTGTGACCTGCAAGGTTTTAGCAAGTATTCCAACACACTTGTCATTGGTTATTGCCACATAAACAAATCTCCCAATCACTTTCATACTCTCAACCACTGTGTTTTTTTCTCCTAAAGGATATAGGGGTTTCAGACCTACGTGGTAAAATCAAGCTTTTCCAAAAATATTCCTGACTGTGTGCTACAGCCACTTGATTTATAGAAAGTAACTGGTCATGCTGGATAGGGCCCTAGGCAGCCTGAGATAGTGGTTACAACTCTGCCCATGGTGTGAATTTGTAACCCAGTGATCTTTGAGGTCCCCTCCAAACATTCTATGAGAATTAATTCTAATCAGAATTTATTAAAAATGTTTAGTTTAGAGGAAAAAAAAAAAAACAGACACAAAACCTCAATAAACTTTTGTAGGTCGTTGAGCCAAGTAACTGTTCAACAAAGCAATGTACAGATCTGTTTGACTTTCTGTAAATAAGTAAGTGGTAGTGAATGCATCCAATTCTGGTGACACAAGGCTGGCAGCTTTAGGTTACAGTGTGCTTGCTGAAGCCAGCCATGCAGTCAAAAGAAAAATCAATAAACCACCAGTGGATTAGTCAGGATGTCGTACCCTGCCTCTGATAGACGGCTGTACCTTAACACAGAGCTTTTTCTCTTGCATTTGGGCATCAAGAAACCAAATGTATCTGAGGGATCTGAAGTGAAAGTGGGAGAAGCTGGAACTGAACAACACACAGCACCTTTGTTTACTTCACGTGAGGGGCTGAAGAAACAGTTCCGTGGTACAGCTCACATGGCTATTCAGAACATAACCACCCCTAATTTTGATTTGGGGCAGCTCAAATGTGATCTCAGCAAAGTAAGGGCACGGAACTGATGTATTGTCATGCTAAGTTTGCGGACTGCAAACTTATTATCCGTTATTATCCACTCGTCTTTCCCATGCAAGTTACTTAACACCCTTTTTGCAATGTGATCTCGGGCGAAGCCAAGATCCCCGTGGCACCCACCTCAGCAGCGGCAGTGACGGCACGGGGACCTTACGCTGCCCACAGTTACTCAGGGAAACTTTCAGAACTCACACAAAGCGTACCGAGGGAAGCCTGGCTCACCACCAGCAGCGCCCCACAGTTTATGTCCCCTCAATTTTACCCGCAGGACACAGCGTCAGGATTCACAGCTGCAACCTCTGCCTGTGAGGTCAGGCATCCGCCGGCGGGACCGCCTTAGACAGCCACTCCGGGAGGAGACCCACCGACCACCAGGCACAGCCCCTGCGGGCACACCTGGCGCCGCACCGCTCTCATTACAAAGCCGATCCCCGGGCGCCCTGCGCGCGGACTCACCTGAGCTCGAGCCGCGCCGGTGGGTGCCCGCACGGGCGCCCCGGTGCTGCACGCCCGGTCCTGCGCCGCCCCGAGCGCCCCCCGCAGGAGCAGGGGACCCCCGCGCCGCCCCCACGCCGCCGCCATGCGGCCCGCGACACTCGGGGGGGGACCGGCACGGCCACAGCGACACCGCCTGCCGTCACGTGGGGAGGAGCGGCGGCCAATCAGAGCGTCCGCAGAAAAGGCGCTGCACGCTGGGAATTGTAGTCCGGTCCCCTGGGGCGGGTGGTGCGCAGTGAGGTGCCTGGAGGCCGAGGTCCAGCCGGCCCACGCGGGGCAGGGTATCAGGTGTCGCTCGGGAGCCCCGCATCCCGCACTGGCGAGGGCAAAGCCTCCACCGACCGCTTTGTCATCTGTTTGTCCCCGCCCTTGCCCCGGCCCTTCACGCGATGCACGTGTGTAGCCCCGAGGCCTGCAGGCCATGTGGGGCCTCCCTGAGCACGGCTGTGTAAGGTGCTTGATGGAAGGCCTCGCACAGCTTACTCCAACAAGTCCCCACAGCGACAGGCTGAGGACCAGAAATCCTGTTATCAGCAGTAGAACGTTTCCTGTGAAAGCAAAGACTTCCTCTTCAATCTCTGTCTTACAAGGGAACAAGGTAAAACTTTGTCAAAAGACCGAACTTTTATTTCTATCTGTATGAGACATTCCAACAAACTTAACAAAAACCAACTAACATTTTGGTTTCCCAGCACTCTCCCCTCCACTCCCACCGTTACACAAGAATGGGATCTTAGGAAGAAGTGCCCTGTGGCCCACTATCCTGGTACATACCAGCTGCCTGTGCTCTCACGTGACCAGACTGAAGGTGAGGTTGTTCTGAACTTGTCTCATACCTGAAAGGAGGACACCGTTCCCCAAAAGTTTCCCCTCGTTCTGTTGGCTACACTTTTGAAAGACACATTTCCGTACATGATTTCTTCTGCTCTGAGCACTGAAATGCTGCAGCTCTTGTATTGCTGTAGCTGGTGAGAGTACAACTTATGCACCGTGCTGCTCCTGTGATAAATCTCCTGGTTTAAATCATGTCTTTTTCCATTACCAATTTCTTATGCTACAAAGACATTAAGAATTCCTTGCTGAGATGTGAATGAGAAATCCTGCTTTCAGTAATACCTGATATGTGATTGACTAGACCCTATAATTGCTTGTGTCAGCTATTATTTCAAGGTGTAGTTACATGTATTGTTACAGATTCATACCCTTAATCGGGTTATACTTAAATCCTTACTCTTTAGCGAAATGCCTTCTTATGTCTAATTCAGTCTTTGGCATTTAGACTTTGTTCAGTCTGTAGACTGAATGTAACCTGGTAGGAAAATCTCAAGGTTTAATGCAATATTATTTTCTTTTTTAAATCTGAAGGCCTTTGAAAACAAATATGGATTTGAATGATATGTGACATGGCCAAATATTATCTTGAAACCATTCTCATCAGCATGGGATTTTTGAGGTATTTTCAAGGGAATGCATACACAGAATGAAACAATGGAGAGGATAACAAGGTAAATGCTGATTTTACTTATAATTTTCAAAAAATGCAGAAGCAAGCTTGATGGTTACATTTACATTGCATATGTGAAGGGTTACCTTTTCCTGTAGAGCAGAAATAACTCTAATTAGAAGATTTCCTGACTTTAAGTGAACAGCAAGTGATAATGATAATTAAGGCTGAAATACAGAAAGGAATTTAGCTTTCTATTAAATGCAATAATTGTTTAAGTGAATATTTCAATTGCAAAAAAAAAAAAAAATGCATAAAGATAAAAATTAATTACAACTTGAAATAGGGACCAAAAATTACATATTGTTGAAAAGTCCACAGGATTCTCCCTTAATTATTTTTATCTTCAATAAAGGGACTGGTTCTAGAGTTATTGTATTTAAATACTGTATTAAGCTTGACTTACATCTGTAATACAGTAAAGATGTACATATCAAGAAAGTTAAAAGTGAAATGTCTTTGCATACATGAAGATATTTTGGGTTTTATTATGTATAAGTATAGGCATTTCTCAGTAAACAAGCATAAAATCAGCTTTTACACCTCCAAAGGCAACAACTCACTCTCAGAAGTTGCTACTGTTGACAGAAATGCTTATCTAGAATTTAAAAAAGAAAAACACAACAGCAGCATAAATGTAAGGATTATCTGTGTAAGAGATAATTCCATTCTACTGGAATTTACTGGAATACAGTCTTATCATATGTTCTGAAGAGTGAAAGTTCTTGCACAACTGAGACAGTGGCTGGAGGTTGATTTTCTTTGCCTCTCTCAGCAGCTATCTGAAGAACTAGTACTCAGTGAGGAATCAGAGGCTTGAGATTTATGTATTTAAGCTGAGGTACTGTGCAGTGTGATGCCCTTGCATTGTAACCAAAGCTGTGTGTGATGTTCCATCATGGCAAAAAATACTTATCTACATCTAACTGAAAAAAGCAGTGGCACTTTAGTGAAGCTCAAGAATGTTGTTCAAGGCAGTTTTAGGATCCACAGAGACTCTTGCCACTAGGCTTTCAGTTTTCTTCCATACGTTATGCAGACTTTCATTTGTGTTTGGTACAGAATAATTCCATAGTGCGACTTCTCAAGAGTGCAATTTCCTGCCCTTACCACTGCTGCTTTCTTGTCTGACTTTCATGGAGTCTAGATTACGGAAGTCTAATCTGCTGTGTACTTCAAGATTTTGCTGAATTCATGGTTAACATGCTTAACACCTCCCCAGTCTAATTCAGCACAGTTGCACAGAGCTTTTCTCAAGACACTGCAGTGTGCCACTCGCAAAAGTCAGCGTGCTGAGCAAGAAGCATCACACCTACATTGGCAATCAAAGGACAAAGTCCGCTACACATATACCAGTGTTCTGTGTGTATCTCAGAGTTTATCTCAGAACAATACAAAAATATTAAGTGCTGGACTACTCTGGTGTTTCAGATAAGGATAAATTTTTAAATGCTTTTTAATCATGAGATAATAATAGAAAGGTAAAGGAGAAAGCACTATGTGAGCTGATAGACCTGTTACACTGAGTCATGATTGCCTTGTTAACCAAACTAAGCACACACTGAGAGTTGTTTTTCAACACCTTATGAAACTTTGGGCTACAGGGCAAAGTGTAAAATGTGAACTTGTCCTCACGTGTGGCTGAAACACTGCCAGGTCTTGTACTGCGGCTAAAGAAAGGACAGACTACAGAAATTCTTGTCTAGGATGAGATGAGGGAAAACCTGCATATCTGACTTTCTGGTATTTGAGCAGGAAGTAACTTTTAGAAATTGAAAAAACACTTTCATTTTTTTGCCTGTTCCATGCAAGCAGAACATCACCAGTCTTGGCATCTGTTATTAATAAGCAACATAGGCCCTTCTGTAAAGGAACTACTGCTGGAGGTTCACTGTTAAACATAAGGGCAGAACTGCCTTAAAACGTCTCACAGTTGTTCATAACATTCATTTCATAACATTTTTCAATTCAAAGAACACCATTGCATAATTACTTGTGTCTGCAGTTGAGAAATCCTAGGTAGTTGATAAAGCAGAAGATTGAGTTGTAGTTTGCTTTCCTCTTTCCACTCCTCCTTCTGTATTTTCTTTGATGTCTTCCAATTTTTCTGCTTTCAATAATGATAATAATAAATGTTAATTTAATGCTGCTAAACTCAGAAAGATAAAAATGTTGGCATTCTCTGTTTGAGAAAGCAGTATATAGTGTACAACGGCGGTAGAATATCAAGGAATCCAACTGATTGTTGAAAATAAACCTAAGTTTACACTTACTCGTCAATACTTCTGCACAGCTACATACAGAAAGGGAAGTAAGAAATGCATAAAAAAAGATTGTGATACACAGTGGAAAAGTGGGAAAAGAAAAGGAGGAAAACAAGGGAAGGAAGTAGAGGAAGAGAAAAAAGGGAGAAAGGGAGGGAGGTATGGCAGGAAGGGGAAATATTATTTGCTGTGAGCTTAAACTCATTTCTGTACAGCTTTTTCTTTCTCTTTTGACTTCTTTCCTTTAAATGAAATAGTACTGTCAAGCCTTCAGAATGGCACAATTGAAGAACAGTGGCACTATTAGCATTCCTGTTTTATATCTACAAGTTCTGTGAATGACAACTGCTGAGCTTTTGTTTATCTGGAGCAAAATTGCACAGTTTCACCCTTTACATAAGATTGCTGATGAGCAGGTCATTTATGGGCTGACCACAACAACTTTGCTTGTCTAATTGGACGTTTATCATGTTTACGTTCTGTGAAAATAAAAGAATAAATGTAAAAAGAATAAATGTAGTGATGTAGAACAGCCCCGCCAAATAAGATTGATGCAGATATAATCAAAGGAAAGATTAGGCAAATCCCTTTCTCAGCTTAACTTAGTGGGAGCTGATTCTACCCTCATTAGCTCTACCATTTATCCAGTATCATTGCTGTTTTTACTCTTTTAGATTTCATCTCTACGTTTGGAACAGCAATCAATTTCATAGACTCATAGAATGGCCTGGGTTGAAAAGGACCTCAAAGATCATCTAGTTTCAACCCCCCTGCTATGTGCAAGGTCACCAACCACTAAAGCAGGCTGCCCAGAGCCACATCCAGCCTGGCCTTGAATGCCTTCAGGAATGGGGCATCCACAGCCTACTTGGGCAACCTGTTCCAGTGTTTCACACCCTCTGTATGACAAAATTCCTCCTAATATCTAACCCAAACCTTCCCCATCTCAGTTTAAAACCATTCCCACTTGTCCTATCACTACCCACCCTTGTAAACAGCCGTTCCCCCTCCTGTTTATATGCTCTCTTCCATTTATTTGGCTTGACATATGATCTTATGATATATGATAGATATTTCCCATGACATTTGCATTAAGAAAGTGCAGTAGTGTCAACAAAAAAAACCCTTTTTGACATCCCAACAATGCAATCCACAAGAGCATAGACCTTCAAGACATTTTTTGTATGTGTGTGCTGGAAATGTTTGATGCAACTTGAAAATCACTTCTAAATAGTGATGTATACTTGCCTTTCAACTTTCACACCAGTAACCAGCATCCTAGTCTACCTAGGGAAGTATTCACTTTGTGGTTGTATCTTGGCTTACTTTGTTAGACAAGCAAAATTCCAGTCAGTTAAGCATTCCCTCAAAGCAAGTTAAATTGTAACAGACAACATTTTCAGAAAGTTAATTTGTATCAAATGATCTTTATCAAATTAAAAAGTTACAAGACATAAAAATAGAGCAAAATAAAAGAAATTAGAAGCAACATCAAGGCATCTTTGTGGGCGGTTGGCTATATTTTTACAGATGCTGTATTTCCCTATTTAACATCCCAGAGATATTTCTGTCATTTCACATCTCCCAGACACTGTAGTTCTGTTCAGATACTGCAAATCACAATAGAGAACAGTGGTTAAGCAAATGTAATCTCACTGAATATTTCCCTCTCACATCTCTGGCTATAATCATGTAAAAGAAAGACAGGAAAGATCTGTTTGCAGATTCACTCTCTCCTTTGATCTCCTCTTCCCAACGTTCTCTGTAAGCTGTTTTTCAAAAAATATTCAAAATGTAACAGTGTTTTGAGAAAGCTTTCCTTCAGTTTTCAAACAGAGGGTAATTACCTTTTTATGCATTGTTTAGTCACATAGATGAAGGGAAAGAGAAAAGAGTTCTGCTCTTCTCATTCCTGCCACTCACCTTCACATAAGTGACTACAAATAGTCTATTAGGTTACAGAAAATCAAGCCCTGGAGAGGTACCTGTCCAAGCAGTAGTACTCAATCTAACCTCAGAGAAACCATCAGACCAGAAGTTGCAAAACTTACTATGTCTGCTACATGTAAGGCTATATTGTTGGTAGTACCTGCTTTTCTAAAGCTTTTCACCCATTCTGGTAATTAGTCAGGCCTTGTGACTGGCTATCTACTGAGTCTCTGAAATAGTTTGCTGTGGAGAAGTGAGAGTGAGTTTATTCCAAAGAAAATGCATTTAAAGCATTCTATTGGCTTTGTATTTCTTTGTAGTTAGTGATTCATTAGGCTCTCGGCCCTAGAAATTTTGTCTCCTGACCCAGTTATTTCAGCTTCAAACCCTCTGACTGTAAAGCTACAAAAGAAGGAAAATTAATTATAAAACAAAACATGAAAGTGGAATAGGCTGGTTTGATACTGACTTGAGTGGGCTTTTGTTTGCTGGAAAGACTGTCCTCTTAGACAGTGGAATGCCTTTTTTGTTGTTGTTATTTTGTTAAGCTTGCCTGTTTTCGCAATCTGGTAACTTATCTCCAATATCAGTGCAGCAAAAGCTCTGCTCTCTTGGCAGCATCATTTTGAGTCAAAGAGGTTTTGTGTTGTGGCTGTTTACAAGTTTGTTTCTTCTTCTGACCAAAGAACATAACTTTATCTTGAGTAAGTCTTCCTTTTCCAAGTGGCATCCTCATGATACTCATGAGGAAGGCTGAGCACTTTTGGTAAATGCAGCATGGCAAAAAAAAATGGGGAGAAGAAGGAGA